TGTTCAAATCAAACTCAAGAAAGGAACTAAATCTTTAATGGGATGATCTTCAAGTTTAAATTATCTGAAGCTGCTCCATATGGCGCATATTGGACAGAAAACTGTTGAAATAGTCAAATAAAAATAAATGCTTTTATATGTAGTATGTACATATACATACATACTTTTGTACATACTACATTCATACATACATATGCATGTATCTCTATGTACCCTCATCTTATATTTACATACAAATGCACATATGTTAGCAGTATATGTATTGATGGGCGGCCCAAGCACATTTAATTATGTGCGAAACTTTAATCTCTTCCAGATGTTAAGAATGCTTTAAGCGCCTTGATATTGTAATTGCTGATTTGCTCATAGGGAATACTGAACTTGTATCCATACAAATATATCTTTGAACGTATATATGTACATACATATGTATGTTACATTAAAAATTAAGAACTTCTTAGGAGACTCGTTGTAGACGGATGTCCATTCACATATCGTCGCTTGGGTAAAAGATTGTTGTGAGCGCAATTTTGGCGATTTTTAGTTCTAGATGCAGTTATATATATTGAAATAAGGTATTTCGATTGGTGTTATCAGTTTTTAGATATCGCTTCCGAGATATTGACTAAAATTTTTTCGATAATTAAGTAAAAATTTAGTTAGTGATGCAGTCATTAAGTCATTAAGCTAATCAATGTCTTAAAAATGGCTTTCTCCATTTTCGGATATCTCTTTTAGTTTCCGAGATATTGAGTAAAAGCTAATTTAATAGAAATTTTGATCACATTTTGATTCCTTTCATACAAAGAAATTGTGGACAAATGACGCTTACGACAAAATTTTACTAAAGAAAATCCTTGGTAAACTCAAAACTAACTAACAATAAACATTAAAAATTAAATAATTTAAGAATTGTGTGAACTAGTAACATTTTCAGAGAATTTGGAGAAAATCTATCTTCGCGTTTTCGAGAAATTTTATTCCAAACTTCAATGGCGATTTCCCACAACGTGCCGAAATTAACATACGAAACATACGAGCATACATACTTATAAATATCGTCGCCTGGATAAAAGATCGTCGTATGTTACTTTCGGCAGGTTTTGGGAAATCGCGATTGAAATTTCGAATGCGATTTCTCAAAAACGTGACGATAGATTTTCTCCAAAGTCTCGGAAATGGTACTAGGTTACGAAGTTCTTAAATTATTGTATTTTTTTTTGGTTAACAATTTTGTAGCCCATTTGCATGCCCTACGACAAAATGTGACGACAATTTTTTCTAAATTAACGATACTTCTTACTCAATATCTCGGAAGCCAAAGGCGATATCCAAAAGTGGAAGACCCCGATTAGCTTAGTATGACTGCATTACTAAATCAACTTGTACCAAATACCGGATAAAATTTTAGTCAATGTATCGGTTACGACTGTTGCAGGCAGTCATAAAATGGTGAACGTGCAACGGCTTGAGAAATGCTAATTACAGTAAAAAAAAATCGATTATAAGCGATCTATTGAATTCCCAAAAAAATAATAGCCGCCATCGATTCGCAACAATTTGCTAGTGGCGAAACGAACGAATTCAATGAGGTGCCACCAAACTCGCCATCGTCCATCGCTGCTAGCTAACTTTGTTGTTGCTTTCACATACACAATTTTTCGGTAAGCGACCGGAACTCGAAACATAGCGGATGTTTTACTCCTGGCTCTGTTGACCTCTTGTTTTCAATTCCCTCATAAAAAGCTAAGACAAAATTATGCAAATGCATATTATAACAAAAAATACATTTTCAATACAAGTGTTATATGCTGTTGTTATATGTATACCTATAGTTTTAAATAGTACCGTATATAGAATCAACGAAATCCGTTTCCCTTTTACTTTGTTCTTTTCCGTTTCTCAAGCCGTACGCAATAGATGCAAACTGCATAGTCGACAGTACAGCAGTGCACTGTGAAAAAACTTGATGTTGAATTGAAAATTTAAGGACATAAGGGATTTTTCGATTTTTTCTATGTATGGCCTAAACGCAGAAAACAGGACCAGCTAGAATATTACGGATTTTAACCCAATCAGGAAATAAAATTGTCGATGGTGCGTATAATTTACTCATTGAAACCGAAAAGCTACGAAAATTCGTATTGCTCATTTACTTCAATAGTATCATAATCCAAAAAATAGCGAAAACAGAGTTTGCATGTCAGTTTTTAAAAATCCCTACCTGTTTTTGATACTCTTTTTATAATAATTTTTGCTTCTCCTGTAAAATAAAGAATTTCTTGGTTAGGGCCTCTGTGAATTATGTAACTCAAACCTTAAAGCCGTTTATCTAGAGTTTTGCTTTTTTACGGAATTTGGGCAGTCGCTAAAGTAGCAACATCTATAGAAGGAAGAAATCAGCTGACACGGAAAAATCTAAATTCCGCAGATTTCTGCGCTACGGGCTACAACTACAGAAAAATTCAGAGACAGATCATGTCACCTGACTCGGGTTTACGTACCGGTAGGTTTACGTTCTTGACTAATTTAAGCTATAACCAGACATTGAACAACCGGAAAAAAATATTTGTATCATGGGTTAACGCATGAACGAATGATACAAGATCACGCAAGAAGGAAAGCAAGAAAAAGGTTATTTTCTAGCTGTTGAAATCTCGACGCCACGATGTAGCGAACAGCACGATGCGGTATTCTATCAAGGTTCATAGAATACAAGGTTACGACATCAGCCATGACCGTCATCTTGATGGCGTAGATGGCTCAATTATTGGAGTTGCCAGATTCCTAAAAAATTATCTAATAAAATTACACTATTTTAGTCAAACATACATCAAGCTTTATTTCAAATATGTGTAACCCTGATATTTACCGTTTGACAATTTGCGTCGAAGTTTGTGCTTTTTTCTGCGTCTTTGAGTTTATTTAAATTATTAAAAAGTTAAGTGCGCTGTTTTTGATTTCAAGAATTACACCGAAAACGGTAATTTAGGGTTTACCGTATGGCTAAAGATGAATTGCAATTGCGGTGGCGATATTTTGGCAATGTTATGAACGCTTTTTATTTAAAAATACGCGAGTGCGTTCTGCTCACTTTCAAGAATAAAATCCCCAGCATATTTCAATTTGCATTCGATTTACATTTCATTTGTCACTATTGTACGAATATTATTATGTTAATCCAGTTTCACGTGAAGTTATAACATTTTATGTTGTTATAATAAGCTTTGCCACGATTTTATATCAAAAATGCCCATTTGATAAGCATTCCTAAAATATGCTATACGGCAACTATATTTTCTGTGTTTTGTTTACTCTCTTTCTTCGTAAAATATTTCAGCCAATCAGAACTCACTTCGCGACTACGTCATTGGAGGAAAACAAATTTTTGACAGCACCATGTCGTAACCTTCTATTCTATGAACCTTGTTGGAGGTGAGTTTTCGTTGCATCTGTAAATGTGACTTTTTCAATACATATGTAATTGCGTATGTCTGTCAAATTCATGGTATTTATTTAACTATTTAAAAATACGTTATTTGAAAACGAAATAAACTAAACTCAGATGATTCTATCTGTGTGTAAGATGAAAATAGAAACATTTCTATTTCGTATGTACGTGCATCTGCTTTGTACAGAAACAAATCTAATTTGCCATTAACGATATGTTGGCATTTCCATACGTAAAAAGTCGAATGTACACATGCAAATACATATCGTGTAAGAACACCTTAACTGCGCTTTAATACAAGCAGTATACCTTTGACAGTTTTGAAAAAAGTATTTTTCAAAACAGATTCACGTCAACGCTCCCATTGAACTGTATAGGGTGCTTTATTATCATAAAACTGCCCTACCGACAAATTCTGTATTAGAGCGGGAGATGTACTCGGCATAAAAATTCTATAGAACACATACCATTGGTTAGAGTGGGAGAGGCTTACTACCAAATGACTTCAGGGTTGCTAGTTCAAAAGAATATTAGAATAAAACATAAGGCGAATTTATACAAGGTGATGTTACTGATGAGCTTAGATTTTCGAGGCGTTCATTCTGAATGTCAAAAGATGTGTTTGTTGTAAACAAGGCGTATTGATATTACAACAAGCACATTATTTTGACATTTAAAAGGACCGCGGCGAAAATCTAAATTCGCCAGTTATACAACCTTGTATAAATTTGCCTTGATAAAACACGTGCAAATGATCCAAAAACAAATTTTGGCTATTTTAAGAAGGGGTCTTCACATCAAGGGTGCTACTCCGCAACGCGGTATTCGCTAAATTTCCCTTATGTATTTCGTTTGTGTTAATTATTTTAACAACAAACTACATTAGGANACCAAAAACAAATTTTGGCTATTTTAAGAAGGGGTCTTCACATCAAGGGTGCTACTCCGCAACGCGGTATTCGCTAAATTTAGCTTATGTATTTCGTTTGTGTTAATTATTTTAACAACAAACTACATTAGGAAAAACTGCCGATCACCAAGTTTGTGAAAATCAGCAGAAAAGACTATTATATACTTGTTTTATTAAAACATTTGAAACGTTGACAAAGAAAAACTATCTTGGTGTATACTGCCTCCTCAATGCAACCCTGATAATGGCAGCAGCTAAAGGCTCCGTTATGCATACTTGGCATTGCTTGAGCGTTGTCACATANTTCTTGGTGTATACTGCCTCCTCAATGCAACCCTGATAATGGCAGCAGCTAAAATACACAGCTGGCGGTTCATGTCGTTCGTCGACATTCAATTGAAAAGTGTGTGGTAGTGCGAAGAAGTGATGACAGAGTTCCGAAAACGTCCAAGACAAAATATGAAAATTCCTTGTGCTTCTCAAGATAAATAAAACTAAAAAATAAACAAAACGTACAACAAAAGGGTACAAAATTTCAGGAAGCGAGAAGAAAGATTTTATAATAGGAATTCCAAGGGGAATGAAAAAAAAATAAGAGAAGCAAGGANTACACAGCTGGCGGTTCATGTCGTTCGTCGACATTCAATTTAAAAGTGTGTAGTAGTGCGAAGAAGTGATGACAGAGTTCCGAAAACGTCCAAGACAAAATATGAAAATTCCTTGTGCTTCTCAAGATAAATAAAACTAAAAAATAAACAAAACGTACAACAAAAGGGTACAAAATTTCAGGAAGCGAGAAGAAAGATTTTATAATAGGAATTCCAAGGGGAATGAAAAAAAAATAAGAGAAGCAAGGAAAGTGAAGTGCCACTCCTTTATGCGAAAGGCGAATATGCCAACAATGGAGACAAAGTGCCCGGAGAAATAGTGAACGGAAAACGCGATAATTAAAATGGATCTACAGTACGGGATGGCGAGCTAGAAATTACATGTAAAAAATTCCAGAACGAAGTCAGTTGAATGCACGAAAATGCAATGAAAAGTGAAGTGAATGCAGCCGAAAAATAAGTAGATAAAGAAACATGTAACGAGTGCGTGTGAAATTCAAGTTAATGAAGAAACAAGTCTGAGTGAGATAATTGAAACGTAATTGGTGATTAATTAAAGCGCTCGGTAAAATTAAGCACGAGTGGAATGCGCCCAGAAAATAAAGCTGGAAAATAGTACGAAGTAAAAAAAGTTTAAGTAAAGAATATACCTGGAGTTGGGGGTCAAAAGTCCCTCAGAAAAAAGTAGGTAGAGAATAGAAGAAAATGCAGTGAAGTGCGGTGCGAGGTCGAAGAAGTATTTTCAAGCCGTACGATTCACTGATCCGTATAGCATATGTGCCACCGGCGCAGAGCGTTCAAAAGCTCTGCATGAGTCACTAACTTTTGTAAGCAATCGCGCTAGCAGCGGCAGCGCTAGCCAGCAGCAAAGTAGCGTAGCAACAACATAACACACACTCACCCTACATAGGCGACTTGCAATTACCATAATCAGATGCAATAATTCATTCACAGACTGTGTAGATATCAATATTAAACACCCTCAATAAATATATAAATTCCAAATCGTCCACACATATACCGTCAAAATGACAAGTTTTACAAGTCTGAAGGGTTGGTTTCGCAAGAAGGAACCCATCTCTGAAATTGGAAATCCTACCAATTTTCAGCGGCATTACCACGTATCCCGGAATGAAGAGACTGGACATCTGGAGGGCTTGCCAGCATCTTGGACAAGGCTTATGAATGCGCAGATCACCCGCGATGAACAGGATAAAAACCCAGATGCTGCCTATCATGCAGTTAAATACTACAACTATTCCATAAAGAAAAAGGACAATGACGTATTTAAACCCTTCATAACTGAAGAGGCTATACATGAGGAGTCCAAAGAGATTGACAACTATGTGAACTATAAAAATAAGCACAAGTCACATGACCCCGATAAATCCGATGACGACGAACTATACGGTGGTGGCAGCTCGACAGGTGAGAGTGGTGCCTCCTCCAGTGGCAACAGCAATAGCAGTAGCTTCAATGATAACCAGCAAGCCATCCGCATGACAGGTTTAAATCAAGTGATAAAAGAATTAGAGTCAAATTTACTCGCACAACGCGAAACATTGAAACCAATATCAACATTCACAGGTGACGACCGCCCACCATTACCCGCCAAAAAATTGCAAACCCTACCGCCTAAGCCTGTATTAAAACCCAAACCTCGAGCTGTCACCCAGCAGCTCTCGCGTGGAGTATCCGATCTCACCGCTATTAATTTAACAGAGGAACCATTAAACAAAATTAACACAGATACTATAATCCTCAAGCCCGCCGTTCCAGCAGCTGATGGTGATGCGGAGCCTGCTGACGAATCTATTCTGCGTCGCTCAAAAGATAAACGTGCACAAAAGACAGACGCTGAGATATATGAGGAGCTTCGAGCAATTTGTAATATGGATGACCCGCGCGAGCGCTACCACACTACACAGGAAGTGGGCAAAGGGGCATCGGGTATTGTATTCATAGCCGCAGATTTGCAAACCGAAGCGCAGGTTGCCGTAAAAACAATCGATTTAAAAAATCAGTCTTCAAAAGACCTCATCCTTACCGAGATAAGGGTATTGAAGGACTTTAATCATAAAAATTTGGTAAACTTTCTGGATGCATATTTGCTTGAACCAGAAGATCAACTTTGGGTAATAATGGAGTATATGGATGGCGGTCCGTTGACCGATGTTGTCACTGAAACTGTTATGAAAGAACGCCAGATCGCCTGCGTTTGTCGTGAAGTGCTTTATGCAATAAGTTTTCTACATTCCAAAGGTATCATTCATCGTGACATTAAGTCAGATAATGTCCTTCTGGGTATGGATGGTTCGGTGAAGGTTACCGATTTCGGTTTCTGTGCAAATATCGAGGGCGACGAAAAACGCCAAACAATGGTCGGTACACCATATTGGATGGCACCGGAGGTTGTAACTCGTAAGAAGTACGGAAAGAAAGTAGATATCTGGTCAATTGGTATTATGGCTATAGAAATGATTGAAGGTCAACCACCATATCTCTATGAGACACCTCTTCGCGCGCTCTATTTAATAGCTGCTAATGGCAGACCAGATATTAAAAGTTGGGAAAAATTAAGCCCTAATCTGCAAGACTTCCTCGATTGTTGTTTGCAAGTGGAGGTCGACAAACGTGCAACAGCTGATGAGTTACTAAGGCATCCATTCTTAGAAGATTGCAGTGAAGTAAAAGCGTTAGTGCCAAACATAAAAGCAGCCAAAAAAGTCTTGCGGCGCATGGTGTAATGCACAATGAATGGGGGAAAACAAAGCATCAACAACTGTGTAGACTAACAGATAAATGCACTACGTCTCATGTTTAATGGATTGAAGTGCAATTGTAATATTGGATTAGCACAGTTGTACGAATGAGCTGTGCCAGAACGTTGTGTATTTTAGTTGCTTATTTATATACATATACTATATAGACATAAGTACGTATAAGGCAAACGATCGAACGGATTTGAGGAATATGGGGTACGAATATGCTGTATAGTTCTTAGTAGCTGCCACATAGTCTTATGTTAAGTTAATGAGTATGCCAGAATGGTTATGCAGCTAGATATTGCTGAAGAGTAGTCGGGAAGTGTGAATGGCAGTCTGTTGCTGACAGAAAAAGTTGAAAGCGAATCTACATACATGCAATATCATGTTATTTAATGGAGTGGTGCTGTGATGAAGGAAATGCGAGAACATCGCTGGTCGAATAGTATTGCAACGGGCAGACGAAAGGTGAGTTACAATTTTTAGCCCTATAAACTGTACATAAATATATCATGTTAGGTTTAAATAAGCAGGGANAAAGTTGAATTAAGATGTGTTGGTACTCGACGAAAAAAGATGGGACACGAATGACGTTTTTTGGCCAGAAATAAAAACAGTGTACAAATACCTTTCTACTGAGATCCCATAAGTCTAAATCAGAACATTTTTGGTCCAGTTATTCAAGTTTTTCGTAAATTAATCTTTGAAAAAGTAAAAAAACGGCATCAAAAATCTCATTCTTACGATTCCGTTGAAAATATTTTTAAGTAGTTTTATGCAGATTTTTTAAGCTTAATCTAATTTGGCATCTGAGGGGACTTTTTTCAAAAAGTTCTTCAAGAAACTATTTTTATTAATAAAAAACCTCCCTTTTTGGAGGTATTCTCAAATCGGTCTTGCTCACTTAAATCTTAATGTTTTTGCGAAATATTTTGGTGAACGTCTTAAAATATAATAAATTTTGTAATCCCGGTGGAAAAAACACAACTTTTTTGGTGATGCAAGTGAGATATATTGGTTTTGTTCCCCGTTATAACCCGCTTAGTTAGTNTCAGAATTATGTTGAAGAACGCCCTATCTCAGAACTCGGTTCAAAAACGCCCATCTCAAACGAAAATACATTGAAAATAAGCTGAGATAGGGCGTTTTTGAATCGGCAGCTGAGATAGGGCGTTATTCAACCCGATTCTCAGGTAGGGTGCTTTCCAATAAAATTTTGAATTAGGGCGTTCTTGAAAAGTTTTCTGAGATATAGTGTAGTTGAAAAATTTTCTGAGATAGGGCGGTTTCGAACTGGCTGCCGAGATAGGTCGATCTTCCACTCAGCCATCGATATGTACTAACATTTATTATCTAATCGCCGGTACATTTGTAGCTATTTTTTATATCTTCTATAGTTATGTTTTAACATTTATCCTACATCTACTTTGTTCATAGATCATTATTTAACTACGAATATGAGAATAGAGACACCGCGGCATAATGATTCCCAATAATCAAATTTTATTGCTACTTAACAGATTATTGCGCTTGCATAATAATTAAACAATATACCCAGTGCTAAAAAAGAAAGTAACTGTATTGTTGCCAATGCTTTTTTGATATTAAAAAGATTCATACATTCATACATACGTAACTCATTGATAGAAAAATTTGCATATACATACATACACGGTGTCTTTCATTCCCCGTCACTGGCCTCCATGTAGGAAATGCATTGCTTATTTGTACTGCTTAACTTTCTTTTCATAAATTTTGAGAGAATAGAGTCTGCATTCTAAAAAATTAAATCTGAAAATTAAAATTATAAAATAACGTTTAAATTAAGTGAAAAAAGTATAAATCCAATTTAATAGTCAAATTATGATTTTTGTTATATATAAGATTATACCTAGATTAAACTAATCGATACAGTTATCCAAAAATAAATAAGGGATTTTAACAAATTTTGCCAATTTTCCCTTTGTTTATTTCATATTTATTATTATTTATTTGTAAGTATAGTTCAATATCTAACAAAAACCAAATAAACTCATATTTTCAACTTTTCAATAAGATTTATCAGATTTTATGAATATGGATATTTCCAATTCAGTAAAAAAATTACAGCTGTTAGTAGTAGCGGCTTAAGGATATTAGTAAACATACGCGCAGGCGTAACTCAACAAAAAACGGAGGTGCAACACTGTGAATTGCGTAATACCATTTATATATAAAAGTTCTTGTAGTAATATTGGAAATGTTTAAGGTTAATTTTCCAATGTGTAAATTTTTTCTCCTTTTTGTTTAATCCTATAACTTCGGAACCATAAGTCACATAAACTTGAAATTCGGTATGCAGACATATCTATGGTAGGTGCTTATATATAAATGACTTTGTAGGGGGGGCTTGGCATATCTCATAGTCGTGGAATTTTTAATAAGCCATAACTTCGGAACCATAAGCCACATAAAATTGAAATTTGGTGCTTATAGTAAGATATATACATACCTATATATATATAAGAGTTTGTAAATGGGGGCGTGGCACATAATATAGGCGTGGAATTTCTTATCAGCCATAACTTCGTAACCACAAGTCACATGACCCCTTTAATTCCTTTTGATATGCCTTTCGAATTTAAAAGACTCAGTTTCCAGTTCGATTAGCTTTTGCAATGACAATAAACAAGACTACCTTAAAGTAAAACCCAAAACTTTATCGAAAATAAAATGTATGATAATTGCATTGGAAAATGCATTTATTTTAATAGAAGTATTTTTCATATTTGTATAAAAACGTGGGGTGAAACCCGCGGTATTTTCATAATATTTGCATAAGTTTGAAATATGAAATCACATGATTTTCGATATAATGAACTATACTTTTATATATAAAAAAATAATAATTATTAAATAAACAAAAGAGAAATAGACAAAACTTGTTAAAATGTTGCGTCCCTATTTATTTTTGCACCACCATCAACGAGATTTTTGGGCTAATTGAAATTTGCACAATATTATACTAAAATTGAATGGACTGAATACCGGCATTATTTCATTTTCTTTTTTGCATTTATTCTTCTTCTTCTTCGCTGCAAGCCGCGTGTCGAACGCGTCAAAGGAGAGGAACATTGAATGTTCGAAAAATTCGCAGTGACGGAATCGTGCAAGTGTGCGCTAGCTCGTTAAAATATATGGGTAGCATTGTTGTAATTTTTGGCTCTGAGGATTCGCAACGTTATAATCGCACTAATGTGCGATTCGCTTAAAGAGCGAAATACACAACACAAGCGGCTTGACAAACCAAGCGAAATATCCCTTTGTTTCAATCCATTTGTGTTGTCTATGGGGGTGTTTGAAGGTTTGACAAACCGCTTGAGGGAAATTTGAGCAAAAATCTAAATTTTTTGATTTTCTGGCCGCCATGTTGACGTTTGATCAAACCGCTTGCGATGTGGATGGTAAAATCGCCTCATTTGTTGCTGAATTTTCACCAAGTGAGGACGTAAGGGAGAAAAATGGAAGAAAACCAACATTTTTAACATTGTGAACCGGAGGAAAAGTAAAATTCTGGGCTTGAATGACTCATGTTTGCATGGTGTATGGCGAAATGCGAAAAGTAGGTTTGACAAGCCGCTTGTGTGGTGTATTTCGCTCTTTAAGCTTTGAGTTATATGATTTTTGTTGTAGCAAGCATTATATTTTCCTAACAAAATAAATTAAAAATAATAAATAAAAATAGATGGTCAAAAGTTGAAAAAGACAATCGTTTCTAATTATCGGGCCACCAGTGTATATGTATTTAGATTTACGTGAGCTGGACCGATTTGTAAATATATCTACAAAAATTGAATTTTTATCGATAAAAATAGTTTCAGATGACAAAACAGTTTAAGCTTAAAAAAAAAAAATACATAAAAATATAAAAAAAAAGTTTCAACGGAATCGTAGCAATGCCATTTTTTATGCTGTTAATCTAACATTTTTCAAAGAATGGTATAAAAAAAACACTTATGAGGTATCATTGGAAAGGTATTTTCTCACCCTCTTTATTTCATTGCAAATAAACTAATTCAAAGTAGGAAAGAGAAAGGTAGGATGAACGAGCATCATTCCAAGTTTTATTAAGATTTGAACCAAATAACAAAAACAAGATTTGTTGGTATTAAAAAAACTTTAGTGAGTTTTTTGCAAAGAAATAAAAAGAGTGGAAAATACCTTTCCACTGATACCTCATAAGTCTAAAACGGAAAGTTTTGGTCCAGTTATTCAAGTTTTTACGTATGTCAAGTTAGCACTACACTTTTCGAAGTTGGAAAACCTAACTATGGCATTAATTGTAGCTTTTTTTGTTGTAAATTTGTTGTGGAAAAAAATGTTAGCTTTTATTGACACCATACACCTAGTTGATAGAATTGAGATATTGAAAATGTTATAACGGCATTCTGTTGTAAATTTGTTGTGGAAAGAAAAATTCTCAAAAAAAAGCTCGGAGAGGTAACCGTTTACTTTCGAGCACAAGTCATCAATTCCATTCCCAGACGCCATTATCGAACAATCGTCAGCGTAAGAGACAATCGATACTACCTCTGGTGAGCTTGGAAACATAGTATTTAAATAGTAATGGTGAAAGGACACCATCCTGTTTTATTTTTCTATATTTGCTCGATTTGTCTCTAAACAGTCGACCACTCAGATAATTTGCCGACTACCCTTAGAGCCTCTTTGGAAGAGAGGAGGACTATATGTCTTTTAGCAGCGTGGAGTGACTGACGTATCAAACGCCTTTGACAGATCCAACGCTCCTAGAATAGTTCTCTTACAGAGGCGGTTGCGGTTTAGGGCACGTGTTATTTGAGTGTTTATGGCGTTAAGTGCTATTGTTGTGCTGTGCACATTACGGAAACCATGTTAATGCTTGGCTGGGGTCAGGAGGTTCGCTAAATACGGGAGTAGCAAGGCCTCTAGTATCTTCGCTACCGGGGAAAGGCGGGTTATCGGGCATAAGACTGTCCTTTGTT